CAGAAGTGGGGGGGGGGGTGCTGGTGCTGCCTGCCTGAGGGACGGCAGCAGCTGGGGCGGCACCTTCGCAGCTACCCTAGCTCTGCACCTTGGCTGGGGACAGCGGGAGTCACGGCGGCTGACGGTCCACCCACAGAGAGAGACGCTGGAGCCCAGCCGCCAGACACCTGGAAGGAACAGACACAGACGAGGCAAGGGGCTTGCGGCGCCGCTGCCTTATCGGACTCGGGATCAAAAGCGGGTCCATCGGGCCATCCTCAGCATCCACCCTCCACCTCCAGGCTCCACCCTCCACCGCGACGCGCGCTATCCAGTCCAAGCCACACAACTCGCACCTCGACAGCCCCCCCTCCCCCTCGCCTCGTCATCCGCAAGCCTTTGACGTGCGTGCGATGTGCTCCGTGTCATTGATGCGCCATAGGACCTGAGATGGCGACGGCCACGCTGTCGATTTCTGCCGTCTCATATCCGCTCCCTCCCAGGCTGCGTCTGAGGATGAATGGCGTCCGTCGCCCGCCGAAGTGCGATGGAGTTTTGCTCCCCGCTCCCGCTCCCCCGCGACAATAGGCAGCATTCTACACCCAAGGCATTGGCGCGCCACGCCCAGGCTTGTCCCCATGCTCGACGCCGAAATGCCAGGAATTGACGCAACAAATCCGAAAAGACTCGGAAAAGCCCCCAGGACGAAGTAGACATGGGGATATATCGCAGGCGACAGTGTGAAGGGATGAGGCGGCTTTCCCTTCGGCCGGACCGTGTCGCAGTCATCAGCGCCGTTTCAGCATGTGGCTCGCATTGATCTGCAGACATGGCGAACACCAAACGCGACGCAAGCTTGGGCCTCACTAACGTTCGACTCGACATGCACGTGGTCCTCAACAAGAACGCCAGCCCCTGGTACACCCGGGTAGGTAAACAAATATTCCACCCCATGACCGCGTCAACTCCACATGCGCGCACCATGGCCTCGCGGCGACGAAGGGGGCCAGGAGCATCACACACAACACACACACGAGGAGTCAAGTTGAAGTTATATATCATTCCCAGAATCATCATGGTATAATTACAGTCATCCCAAGCCTACCACGGCTGCATATGAGCGCCGCAGCAATGCTCGCGCCCACAGCCCGTGGCATCAGGCAAAGACACCCGCGCTTCCTGTAACCAGCCCTAGCCCTGCCTGCCTTCCCAATTGCAACCGGAACGCCCGCAAAGTCAACCAACGCATACCGTCATGATCAGCCGTGCTGTCCTCGGCCCTCGGAAGCGTCTCGGACATGCACCAATGGCGTTCCGTCTATGCGGAAGCAGCAGCAGCCTTCTTCGGCGCGGCGGCCTTCTTCGGCGCCGCCTTCTTCGTGGCAGCAGCCTTGGGCGCCGCCGTCTTGGCAACGCGACCTGTCTTGGTCTTGCTCAGGGCAGCAGGCTTGTCGGCGGCAGCAGGGGCCTGAGGTGTGTCAGTAAAAAGTTCATGTGGTGTTCGGTGGCGCGTCACGTACAGCCTTCTTGGTGGTCGCGGCCTTCTTGGCGGGGGCAGCAGCCTTCTTCGCTGGCGCAGCCTTCTTCGCGGCGGTCTTCTTCTCAGCGGGAGCGGCCTTCTTGGTGGCGGCAGCCTTCTTGGCGGGGGCCTTCTTCTCCGTTGTCTTCTTCTCAGCAGCGGCCTTCTTCTCAGTGGGCTCCTTCTTCTCGGCAGCCTTCTTAGGGGCGGCAGCCTTGGGAGTCTTCTTGGCGAGCTTGGTGCCACCGGAGGGGCCTGTTTCTGTTAGGACGTATACATGTGCGAGTGGGCCATGGCAACATACCCTTGGGCTGCTCGAATACACCCTTGGCAACACCGGCCTTCAGGGCCTTGTTGAAGCAAGAGTCGAACATGGCATCGCCGACCTTGATGTCATTCTGGGCGCGGACATACTTCTTGAGCGACTGACGCGACGAACCGTTGCGGTCCTTGAGCTAAAGGGATGTGTCAGTGGCTTGAGTTTGAAGACGCGTGACGGATGAACTGGGCGGTGGACGGGGTGGAGTCGTGTCCAACACGAAGGATACACCTGACCCCTCACGCGCCCACCACAGCGTTTTGCGCCGGAAGACTGGAAAGACGAAAACATACGTTGACGATAGCGTCGTGGATCATGTCCTGCAAATAATCAGCGGCGATTCACATGAGCACACGCCGAGATGCAACC